GGCCACAATTAAACTTTTTTTTTGACCATGTCATCAGAGGGGCTCCGTATGAAACTGCACAGAAGGACGGGGAACTGCAGCAGCCAACAGGGTCTTTCTTTGACCATAAGCGTCATTGTAGGGGGTGAGAAAGATGGGGGGAAAAAAACATGCACAATATATAATAGTGTGACAAGCTGTGCATTTCAAAAACAGGTGTTGATTACTAAAAGCTAGCCATGCTTCACACATAACCTACTGATGCTGTGGCTAAAAAAACAAATCTGATCAGGTGCTAGATGATCACTTTAACTTCAGTTGACTTTAAATGAACTCTGCTCCCGATTTTGACCTAAAGTGTTAAGTCCAGATCCTTGCTCATCACATTTGAATTAATCACTGAGAGTCTTTATTCATTCTGTGATTTTATTATGATGTTTCAGAGGATTAATTTGGATCCATTTAACCAGAACTGTTGGGATATTTCTGGAGTTAAGTTTGAGGAATCATCTCTTTTGTTCACCTCTCAGCTTAATCTAGCTCTATTTCTCTGTATTATTTTTGACTATTTAAAAAAATGATTTCTCTCCACCCCCGAGTCATCCCTGCCTACAGGCTTTCTCTGCCTTTGTCGTTCCTTTAGCCCCTTTACATTAATAAACCTTCTCTCCATGCTCTTATTTTATTCTGTTGCTTTTAGCAGTCTCTGTCATTTCTTTCCTCCCAGCTTCTCCTGACTTTTTACTCCTTAAGTTCTATTGAATATTTAATACAAATTGTATTATTTCTCCTCTTCTATTCTTTTCGTTTTTTCTATAAATATCTTTGACATCTGCAAATAATCCAGAAGTTCACACTAGTTTTTGTTTCTGGCTTATTTTCATTTAATGGGATTAGCAGGATTTACGTTGATTAGTTAATTAAGAGGAAAAGGAAAATATAAAAAGCTGATGCAATCTTGGTTCTTTGTGTAAAACCGGATTTAAAAAGTCTGATGACTTTGTTTTTTTTTTTTTGAGTTACATAGAATGGGATGCCTTAATGTCCCCCCCAGGGTAAAGATTGTGCTGCATTGTCTGAGTCTGTCTCATCTACTGACGTAACAATGAGATGCTCAGATTTATGCATGCATCCGCATCCCTAAGCATGCATATGACTTTGCAGTGAGGGGAGAAAAAAAAAGCCTCCCTTCATTCTTCCACGCGTTTGTAGTCACGCTGCTGCGTGCATGCCGTAAATTCAGCGTAACCCGGCATCGCCTGAGGCGCACGTGCGCATTTCTTCTTCTGTTTTCTTTGTTTGTGTGCCTGTGTTTTACAGCTGATTTGCAGCTTAAATCCTCCCTGGCCCGTTCACCTCCGTGCAACCGCATGTAACTTATTGTCCTAATCAATCCCTCGCACACTAAGAGGCTTTTTCAGCAGAACCACCCGGGGTTAGCGAGCAGTTAGCAAGCGCTTATCCCCTTTTTCTTACAGGGAGAGCAAGACAGCCGGCTCCGAGCAAGAATTTTATCTTTATAGGCCCAGAGGCAGGCTAAGGGCAGCTGGAGGAGAAGAGACCCTGGTTGGGTTTGATACTGGGTCTGCAGAGGGTTGCTGGCAGTGGGGATGGGTCCTCATGAGGTCAGGGCTTTAAGAAAAGAACAAGTGGAGGTGAAACAGAAGAAAAGAACCAACTATTACTGTATAAGTTACAGAAGTTAGCAACACAATCAGGATCTGGCTGTCATCCACGTTGAATGAAAGCCCCCTCAGGAAATGTCGATTTTTATTCTCACAGATCCTGGCAGACAGTCGGACCGAGTCACACATACAAAGGATTAGAACTTCTCTGTTTTCCCCTGTTGTTCCTCTGCTTTTCTTCCTTTCTTTCATTTTCTGTTTTCTTTATTTGAAGCAGAACAAGCTCATTATAGTCCATTAATCTTAGGAAGTACACACACAGTTTCTGCAACGTGTGCCATTTCTAAATAAGGGAGAAGAGCAGCATTATTTGTTTGCGCTGCTGAAAAACTTCCTGATGAGGATTAATTCAGAAATGTTAAAGGAGGCTGTAGCTCATGTCCGTTTTTAACTGAATGGAAAAAAAAAGAAGAAAAAAAAGCAGTAAAGTGTTACTGTTTGTCCTCCTGTTTTAAAGAAATTTGCAGATATTTGCAGAACTTTGTTTTCTGCATTTAAAGCTTGAAATTTTCCACTACATCAGTTTTCATTGCTAAATCTGTCCAAACTTAGGAGGAAATGCTGACTTCAGACACTTGCAGCAACTGGGTGTGACTTTAATAAAACAATGTTTTTCCCAGATGGATGGAGATGATTTTTTTTTTTATTCTTAAAAACTCCTGAGGAAAACTTTAAAGCTGGGGTGACATTTCAAGTAGTTTCACTTTTATACTGATAGATAATAACAAAGTCGTAAGCTTAGCTTCACAATGCAACAAAAGAGTGAATAGGAGTAAAAGACAGAAAAAAAAAGTAAACATTTCAGCTCAAACAGAAAGGTTTGGCGTTGAAGAGGTCCAACTGTAAATAAAGTTGGCTTCATGATCTGTCAGGTATTCCCGCCGTCCCTGATGGAAAATAAAGAAATCCTTCTTGTGTTTGGACGTGTTAGGATTGTTGAAAGGTACGACCAGAAGAAGAGCTTAAAGAGCAGAAAACTTCTTCAAACGTTTCATCTGTCACACTGTCTGAACTTGGCAAACATTGGACATTAAAAGGTGGAGAAAAATATGTTTTTCTGACCAGAGAAAATCCCCTATGATGAGGAAATCTCACTGGAGATTTTTCTTTTCCTCTCCATCACCATCCAGGAACTTTTTTCCATTTAGTGGAAAAAATATAGCTTCAGGTTTTGCAATTGAATCGAACCACAGCTACACTAAGCCTCCGGGAGAGGTTTCCAGCAGAGACCCCTCATGGCTGAGGTTAAGAGGGGGTTTAAAAACAGACTGGATGCTCTTCAGAAGCCATGATCCTCATGTGGAGCTACTTTCCTACCAGCCTACAGGAAACCCTCACAGTCCAGTGGGGTTACCCACTCCTGAAGCTCCTCAGGACAATATTAGTTTTGGCTTTCAACTGATCAACCATCTAAATTCAGAGGATGTTTCCAATAAATGAAGAATTCTGATCCTGTTGGGTTCTCCTCCCTTTTCTTTCTTTTGTATTTTGAAACCAAATTCAAGTTAAACGTAAATGATTTAACATTCCTCCTCAGTCTGAATATTTTATTAAGTGTTTCTAAACAGCAAAGGTCTCACAAATGTTGCTTCAACATTCAAATTTATGTCACCATTTAGAACAATAAGTGAATTTTTTCAGTGTTCTTCGAGAGCACATTCACACTCTGCTCCACTCTGACTTTGTCTCTGTAGCTTCGAACTGAATTTCGTTCCCTTATTGTTGCACGAAAGGAACACATTTTGTAAAATAAAATTTGAAAAAATAAGTAAGCTAATTAATACAAACCAAAAATAAAATGTTAAAAAATATTTTAATTAAAAAAGGATTTTAATAGTAACTTTGCTTAAATTGTTTGGACTTTAATACTTACATTTTTCCCCCCAAATTTATCTTTTTTCATATTAAGTTTTTTGAATTGAATTTTGCAGATTAAATTCTCTTCACTTCAGTTTAAATGCAAACGAGCGCCATTGATGCACACATTGACCAAGTTAAGGTAGTTGCAGACTAATTGAAAATCTTTGCTCTTCCAGAGGGAAGCCTGCCCCACCGTGAGCAGAGTGTGATCTGTAAAACCAAAACCAAAAAAACTAAAAAAAAAATTTTTTAAAAGTATAAAATTTCAAAAAATAAATCAAATTATGAAAAAAAGGTTAAAAAAATCTGACAAAACAGCAAAATTACTTTTAAAACACTTTTTAATAAAAAGTTTTATTTCAGGATTGCCTTACTTTTCTTTTTACATTTTTACATTTGCCT